TCGTCCTCCGCCATCACTTAATCACGAGGGGCTCTTCGGCCAGAAACATGAAAGCTAATCAACGACGGCCAAAAGGAGTGCGCAAACACCCTCATCGGCCATCCAAAGGGAAAGACGCCATCGTCCTCGAAGCAAGGACCAACTTCAGTGGCCTCATCGGCCCAAATACAAACTTCAACCATCAGCGCCCAAGCAAAACATGTCTTCAACGGCCACCGTTGAAAGAAGGACACTCATCGTCCCAAAACGAAGACATCAAGCAAACAACGGCCCCCCCGTCCACAACGAGGAACAAGTAACGGCCAAGGGCAACAAAGCACAGGAATCTACTCTCCTTCACTTCGTCTACGTCTCAGCTTAGAGAGTGGGGGACTCCTGATGGAGTATATGGGTCTGAGCCCTCGGACCCACATACTCGGAACAGAAAGCACAAGATAACAGAGTGGCGCTCTCGTCGGCCAAGACGCCCCCGTCGGCCGAAAAGGGGCCAACTCGGATTATGGTCCTGAGTCCAAGGAACCCGGGTGCCCTCGTCGGCCGTGCCCTCGTCGGCCACGCCCTCGTCGGCCACGAAGACCTCCCAGAACCGGATTTCATACTTACTCATTTGTACAGCCCATTAGTGGCTTTGTATTCGGCCCAGTAGCGGTCCAGTTGTAGATGGGCTTCCCAAGCCCAAGGCTTGGGGGCCCCACCCTAATTTTCTCTATAAATACTCTCTTTGGGAGTAGTTATAGGGGTTACAAATTCATTCTATTGAAGCATATTATTGCACTTATCTCTCTAGCTCTCACTTCTCTCTAGATATACTCTATCAACTTTTTTATTTATTTTAACACTTCATCTTAAAATAACCTTAAGTTGTACTTATTGTTTTTAAAATCAAAAAAGAAGCCGGGGCAAGAAACATATTATAAGTAATACTAGTAAAAAAAATTAGTCGGAGCGGGGGCGCTTGCCCCCCCTTGCCCCCCCCCCCCCTAGCTCCTCCACTGATCACCGGTGCTCCTGACCTTTTTGAAGAATTCAATCCTGTTGGGAATATTTTATGGTGTTCAATCTAGTTAGTTATCTTTGTATTTGTGTAGTTATTAATTAAACATGTAATACGGGCCACAAATGTGTATCAGCCCGTGGGCTTCCTTGTAACCCGTAAGTTAGCCAACTTCTCCTATAAAAGGAGGCTAACTTACGGGAACCTAGCTAATGGTTAGAGGCTTAGAGACGCAGAGGCGAGATATAGAGAAATTAGGGTTGCCGCTGCTCTCCTTCTTCAGGGAGAGTAGCGGCAGGTTTATACGGTATACCAGATTCGGTTCTTATCTTGTCGATTTCTTCGAATCTGCTTCTTTATCATTGTTATGATTGTTGTTTGTTAAATTATGGGACTAACATTTGGTATCAGAGCCGAGGCGTGAAACAGGTTGGATCTGTCTGCGATTTTTGGATTTAACGAAGAACTGCTCTGTTTTTTTCTTCAGTTTTTCTATATGTAGAGATTTGCTCCTGTAATCTCGTTTGTGAACGAAATTTTGTAAAAATCATACTGTTGGAATCGCCTTTCAAAACCGATCCAGCAGCATACCTCTTTTTTCGTTTTCTGCAATTTTTATATTTCGAAGATCTCTACATTGAGATCTCGAAATCCTCTTTTTCCACTGCTGCAGAAACGTTTTTTGGCTTGAAACTGATACAGGAGAATCTCGACTTTCAGGGCTATTCAGAACAGGTTTCAGATTTTCAAAAATCAATGTTTTCGTTTTGCAGGATCTCGACATTTAGGGACTCGATTTCCTCTTCTCGACTTTTGAGATCTCGAGATTTGCATCTCGACATCTTGATCTCGAGATTTGCATCTCGACATCTTGATCTCGAGATTTGCATCCCGACATCTTGATCTCGAGATTTGCATCTCGAAATCAAGATCTCGAGATTTGAATCTTGAAATCATGATTCCGAGATTTGAATCTCGAAATCAAGATCTCGAGATTTGTAATCTCGAAATCAAGATCTCGAGATTTGTAATCTCGAGATTTGGAACTTCGAGTTTAGGAATTTCGAGTTTTGGGATTTCGACATTTGGGATCTCGATGTTTTGGATCTCGACATTCTGAAGATTTCGAGATTTTCAAAATTTCTCGATGTTTTTGAATCTTTCAAAGTTTGCAGTTTCTTGGAACTCATAATTCGAATCTTGACATCCTTTGCAGTTCATCGAAGCTTTACATTATAAGGATCTCTGAATGATTCCCTGCTTATAAATGTTTCAGGAGTTTTCGATGTTCTGATGTTTTTCAAACGGCAAGTTTCCGAGATTATGAGGTTTTCGAAACTCCAAAGTTTTCGATGTTCAAACATTTTGAAATTCTGCAGATTTCGATTTTCTGAGGTTTGTTTTGCAGGTGGATTTCGCCATTATTCTTCGAGGCAACCTCGAGATTGTAATCTCGAGATTTAAACCTCGAGATTAGGATTTCGAAGTATTGCCTTAGAATTTTGTTTAAAATCCACCTGCTCTCGATATTCATCATCGAGAACCTCAACTTCGAAAAAATTCCTCAAAAACTCAAAATTAGAGATTTTCTGCGACACCGCACTGTTTTGGCCATAACTTTTGACTCGGTGATCCGATTTGAGCAAACTTTTTTGTTGTTGCAAAGCTAACAAAAAGATCTACATTAATTCTCGGGATCTGCCCCAGAACCCATTCTCACGCGCCCTCACTCGCAGTCTTTGAGGGTCAAAACGTTAGTTTTCCGACAAACATTGTAAATCACCGATGTCCAGGTCAAAACTTAGGCAAATCTGTTCAAATTCTTTCATTGTCAACCCTGAGGTCAAAACTTTTCTAAACTTCAATGTAAAGGTCTGAAAATCGTAGATAATTCAATCAACCTCGCGTCAACGGTCACCTTACAACAATCAACAATCAACTGCTGAAGCCTCCCCTGACTCATCAACATTATGTGATCATCAATATGCTGAAATTCTACATGATGAGCTCAGGGAAACCGTCATGTGTGGTACATGTTCAGATTGCTCCACACACATGGCGGGTATGACAAGCTGTGAGCAATCAAACCTTGCACATTCTGAGGGGGAGTTTCAGTTTTCTCCTCCTGGCGCCTTACACCGACAAAGCAAGGAATCTCTCAATGGATGCAACATTCTAGGAAGAGTGTTCAAAGTAATCCTCCCCGGTGCCTAACAATGACAAAGCATACCGAGTGCTCCAGTTGAGGGGGGGTACAGAGAGAAAATGAGAAAGTAATGAGAGAACATGTCCCTATGGCTTAGTAAACCTAACTAAGCCTACCCAAGGGACAAAGCCGAGCGTAAGTGCGTGAGTGAGCGAGTGAGTGAGTGAACATTATGAGCATTAGGAAGCAGAAGGCTCAAGTGAGAAGACAAACAATTATCAATGATGAGTCTGCTACCTCAATTGCCTGCTATGAATTGAACATTTGCTCCTAGCCACTAAAATACTCTGGACTATCCCCATAGGTTCAGGACTGAATTTATTCAGATCCCGGGTAGAAGTCACTGCATTTTGTCCAAACGGCGCATGCACAACCCTACCCTAGACCACTCACTTGTCTCCCAACAGACAGGTGTTTAATCATAGTTCACGGGGAACCGCATCTCTCATTATTGTCTCCTTCCGAGGCAAGTAATACTGACTACAGTGGCCTCAGCCCCATGCCACTGAACTTTCATTGATCACGTCGTGTCTAGTTACTCACTCCCAAATGTTTTGAAATTTTCTAGGACACAGACGCACTTTTAGAGTCAGTTGCAGGTCTACATGACCCGCGAGAACTTCCATAGGTCTCATCTATTGCAGATGTAGACTAATGATTGGAAGGAAGTCCTGCTGTTGCAACATAAGAATCACCAACATTTTCAGGCCATTGCTTAAGAGTTTATCTCTATAGTGATGATAACGGACGTCTTCACGGCCCCGGGGGGCTACGTTATCTTTTTTAGATTCTGCTTGTTTTTCATGTTTTTATTTCCGTAGAATAAAAGAATAAAAGCATGACGTCCCGATTCATCGGATCGTCATGAGGGGGAGAGTGGTCCACATGCTGTTAACACTGAACAAATCATTCTGGGACACTTCACTCCTCCATCACAAAATTCAACACCCTCTCCACTATCTCCGCAACTCAAATCAAATGGTCAGCTACACTCACAAATCAACCATCATTATGTTCCGCTGTGCCACCGACAAGTTCTCCTCAAATGCATTCATTCCAAATAGTCAAAAAGACTACATTGTGGAGGAGACAGAGGTCAAATACTCGTGTCCTGAAGATGAATTCCATGGGCGTCTCCTATTCTCCAAAGAATATTCATTCTAGAGGCGTCACCGGACTTCATCCAAGCTGATCAAGAGCAACTTCTGGAAGGCAAGGACTACATGCAAGATACAGAAGGTCCCTCAACCCCCGACATCAAAGATCAAATTGTCAAGAAGACATCAAAAGGGAGATTGCAAGGATTCTTTCAGATAGTCTTCCTCAGAAGTCAAGTTCAAAGACAAAGGAAGCTAAATAACAACAAAGACAAAGATATCTGCGCTGCAATGCTGATTCAACACGATTGATCACCAAGGGGGAGATTGTTGGGAATATTTTATGGTGTTCAATCTAGTTAGTTATCTTTGTATTTGTGTAGTTATTAATTAAACGTGTAATACGGGCCACAAATGTGTATCAGCCCGTGGGCTTCCTTGTAACCCGTAAGTTAGCCAACTTCTCCTATAAAAGGAGGCTAACTTACGGGAACCTAGCTAATGGTTAGAGGCTTAGAGACGCAGAGGCGAGATATAGAGAAATTAGGGTTGCCGCTGCTCTCCTTCTTCAGGGAGAGTAGCGGCAGGTTTATACGGTATACCAGATTCGGTTCTTATCTTGTCGATTTCTTCGAATCTGCTTCTTTATCATTGTTATGATTGTTGTTTGTTAAATTATGGGACTAACATTTGGTATCAGAGCCGAGGCGTGAAACAGGTTGGATCTGTCTGCGATTTTTGGATTTAACGAAGAACTGCTCTGTTTTTTTCTTCAGTTTTTCTATATGTAGAGATTTGCTCCTGTAATCTCGTTTGTGAACGAAATTTTGTAAAAATCATACTGTTGGACTCGCCTTTCAAAACCGATCCAGCAGCATACCTCTTTTTTCGTTTTCTGCAATTTTTATATTTCGAAGATCTCTACATTGAGATCTCGAAATCCTCTTTTTCCACTGCTGCAGAAACGTTTTTTGGCTTGAAACTGATACAGGAGAATCTCGACAAAATAGTAGGTGTAGAATTAGTTGACGTTTTCAATATTCGTGAAAACAAAATTACTCCATGAAACAGTAGGTGTAGAATCACAGGGACATCTGGAGCGGACAAGCCGGATGCCCGTATATGTTGTCGGAGCAGCCGCATGTCTCCAACCTCGGCTCATGCATGTCCTTGCCGCCCGGTACTGCAAGATGGTTGCTTTCACTGGAATACTCAGCGCACAGGCACACCCGATTCTCGATGCCGCACAGTCACTAGACCAGCTTGGAAAGCTGATGAAGGCTAGCCGTCCGGCTCTGCCACTCTGCCTGGGGTAGCCTCAATTGCATGCCTGCAAAGGCTAGTTGGCCCCTCAACAACTCTCTTTCCGTAGGGAACGATGCTAGCTTATCCAACAAGGTCTTCTCATTAACGAAAGGAAAGCTCACGTTAAGTGAGACCGAGCTTCCCAGATCACTCAGACGGAACTTTTGACCGAAAGAGGTCTCCTCCGAGCACACCAGTACGTCTCTAGATAGAGAGGCAAGTACTGCTAGGCTGACCACACGGGTTTTCAAATGCAACCCAGTTTTCAACGCACCAGGGGCCAGCTCAGGTGCCATGTTTGCCCGACGCCCGGCGTCCGAAGCGCTGCCCACCGGTCAACTCTGATCGGTTATAAACACAATAGCATCATTGCACGCACAACGTGATATGCACTCCACTGCCCGCCACAGCTCAGCGTACCAACCTAATAATATTGGCTCGCCCATGAAGCGTCAATTTTAGAACCAGTTGTGTTCCGATGTTCGGTCTCAGTGGCTCAGTTCGGCCATCACCACTGCCACGCTACCCGTTCTGGGGACACTGACACTCAGTACGCTCAGCCTTCGGCTTAACGCCGCTCGAGAGACACAATACGATTCCGGCTGACCAGATCAGCTCATTAACTGGTGATACCACCGCTCGGTTCTCAACGCACTTCAGGTGACAACAAGGAACCTGTAGGCTGGCCGCCCGGCTTCCAAAGACCTGCTCAATGCTCAACGCCGTCCGGCGAAGTGGCCACCCGGCTCCTAAAAACACCACCCAGCGGTCAACTCCGCCCGTCCCCTAAACAGATCGAACCCTGGTGGACTGGCCGCTCTGAGTTCTGGTCTCTTGGACACTATCCAGCGCTGACGTCCTGCGTCCGGCATAGAAGACGCTCGGCAAATAAAGCCACCCATTCCTTCGACAGGGATGTACATGGTGGGAATATATGGTGTTGTTTGCTCCCGTAAACAGGGGATGAAGGTGTTGATCCCAGCTAGAGCATCTGTCCTCATAACTCGGAATCAGACCACCGGGCATGCCTCATCCTCGGTTCCATGTCGCCCCAGCTGCCGCACCGAAGATGGAACCCCTGAGGCCCAAATAAGCGCATTAGATCAGGCCGAGATTCTCGGGGCTTTGCTGTGACGCCACACTGTATCGGAATCAGATCTGTCTTGGAGAAGACCTTGCCCCGTCTGGCGTGGGTAGAAGGTTCTGCTCAAGCCTCCACAGATTGGCCAGACCTTCACCGCTCATCCTCGATCTGATGGCCGCTCGCCCTTTCGGAGTTAACTTGGGACCCCTTGAAGACTAGCTAGCCGCTCCTCCCCACTCGGCTTTAGACCTGTGGGATGGCCGCCCAGCCTATCAAAAGCCGTCCATTTTTCAACACGCCCCAGGGGGCAGCTCGGACACCTTGTGGGTTGGCCGCCCGGCTTCCAAAGCGCTACCCAATGGTCAGTTCCAGACATTAGTTCTTCTCACCGGCTCTGGCTACCGCTCTCCTCGGACCCCTGGCAGCACCCACGGACCTTTGTTGGACCGCTCTCGGTGGACGAATGGCTTTTGGATTTTGATGACGCTCGGTGGGAGGACTTATCGCAGGATTGGATAATTCCCTCTCAAATGACGCCAGGCACTAGAAGTCCAAGTGGGGTATGGAAGCATGGACCAGATCCTTTTATCCTAAGCGGGCCAGATCAAATCAAACTGAGGCGGCTGGATAGCAAGTGAGCAAGGTTGTGGAGAATTTAGACCCAGTCAAAATTAAAAAGAGGGATCCCAAATCATTCACGATACACTCAGCTCGCCGAGAACCGCTGCAAAAGCTGAGTTACAACTCAGTTCTCCATTCCAAATTAATTTATGTTAAAATAGTATTAATGTTGCTATTGGCTATCACCATTATTTATTAGGGATTAAAATATCCCAAAATTAAATAATGCCGAGCAAATCTCTTATGATAATTTGGACCGTCATTTTAATTTAAAGAATTGGATGACGAGCCGGGCCGAGGGTCTTTGTACCCTTAGGCCGACGGTCATGCCCGGAAGAACCTCAAACAAAAAAGGGTTGGGTGTACACATATGCATATTGTCTGGCCATTTGGCTACGTTACTATGTTCATTGTGCAGATAAAGATCATGATCGGGACAACCGATAACATATGAATCGTAGTGAAAACAAGCACCTTCACTCCAGAGGCCGAGGATCTCAAGGCGAACATCGCACCCAAGGGGCTGGAGACGATCATCTTCATCCACAGGCCGAGGTCTGATGTGAGTTTTCTCGCACTTAAAATATGTAGCAGTAGAGGGTGCAAGTATGAGTATTGTCTCCACAGGGACGGACAAAAGGAAATTAAGTATTAATTAAATTCAGATAAAAAAACGGTTAGGTCCCCTAGATTTCGATGATCAGATATTGTTTTGATGATGCCACCCCTTTTTATATTATCCCTGTAATAGACTAGTGAAAAGGTATTTGTTTTGCTCTCTTTATTGTAATGTGCTCAATAGTGAAAAAGTACTCAAGAAAAACAGAGAGTACTAAAAAGAGAAGAAACGTACCATAAAACAAAAAGAAAAGAAACAAAAAGAAAAGGTACGAAAAGAGTCAACTGAAACCCTTAGAGAATCGGATACTTGAGTAAGAAGACCATCTCATGACCTTCTATTATGGTCGTATCAGAAGACCTCAGCAACAAAAGAGGTTCTCTGATGAGACAACAACAGAAGACCTCATAGGTATTCTGATTAAGTACTCGACATCTGCTATTCTTCTCTTAGCACAGAAACAAGAAAACAGAAGACCAACTTGCAGTCAAAATGACAAAAAGAATAGAAAATAATTTTATAATAAATTATGTGACAAAGTTTCTTATAAAATTATTTTACTAAAAGCAAGTAATTTTCATTGTATTTAAGCATTGAACAACACTCAACTGATCTTCTACGAGCCAAAGAAATAAAGATAAATCATCTTTATCTTTGCCTAGAAATGAGGAATCAAGTTGAGTGAAGATATTTGATCCGTGTCACAAGAGGACAAGAATCAACCATGCTGCCTTAGTCAAGTGGAAAAAAGCAAGTAGATCAAGCAACGATCGAGATTGGATCACTCAGCCAATGGAGGAGATTCAACAACAAAGTCTATAAATACAGAAGGATTGCGGGAAGACCAAGTGTGGCACCAGATGACAACAAACCCTGGTATATTGGAACCCAGTGGAACTGAAGGGATTCAAGGTTCACACGAACATATCCAGCTAGCTGATTCACCTTCACCACTCTAGTTACCACCACACTCATCTAGTTCTCTTAGAATAGCCTATAATTCATACATATCTATAGAGCTTAGATTAGTTGGTAGACTAGTTTAAACTCATGTAAACAAGTCTAGTGTATGCATTCTGGTATGTGTGTGATCATCCAGAAGGTGAGGCAAGGACATGAGTAGCTTCTGACTGGGCAATACTATTAGTGAAAAACCTTGGAGGACATGAGTAGCTTGGAACAATGTGGTTCCTCGTGAAAACCCTCACAATCTACGCCTGGGCCAAGGATAGATTGGGCACTAAATGTAATGGGATATTCATTTAGTGGGAATCCATCTGAAATAGGTTAGGACTGGATGTAGGAGGATTACACCACCTCTGAACCAGGATATATCTTATGTATCTTTTATATTCAGCACCCAACACATACTTCAATTCTCACTCACCTTGATACTATCCCAAAAGCTTGCATATTCACTGTCCAGAAAACTCCTTAAAGTTTTCTGTGAATCAAAACTCCTTACCTACGTACTCCAAAGAGATCTATGTAATAGGTCTAAATCCTTCACACAAAGGTGTTCTGTCCAACCATCTCTGTTACAACTAAAAGGGTCATAACCTTTGGTTCTATAAAGTGTCACACTCTTGAGGTCAAGACTTCCGATGTATGTTTCAATATCTTTCAAAAGATATTGAAACACATTCTGTTAGAGGAAAAAGGGCTGAAAAAGAAAAGATTTTTATAAGTCTATTCACCCTCACCCTCTAGACTTCTACCTCACATGGTACCATCAAAAACTAACTAAGAAAAATAAATAAATAAATTGTGCGAGATTTGATTTGATGGAAAATTAAATTGTGAATAACGAAATTAAACTAATGGGTTATTTCTAATTAATGACGAAGGGAATAGGGATTGATTCTGGGGTAATCAGATTTCTGGCTGATCAGGCTTAATTACATGAAATTAATTTAATTGAGCCTCGCTAATCATTACTAAGTTCTAACCGCTCTCGCGGCGTAGAGTACAATAATTTCGGGAATCAGGCTGATCTCTCATGCGACATGTATCTAAAATTATTGCAAAAACGAACGAGCGTACGGCCCCTTAAACGTTACTAATCTTTTAGCGAACGATTAAGTGTGTGTGAAGGTGTCCTAGAATAAATTAGATCTCTCTTAATTTATGCTATATGCAATTATAATCTTAGTGGCCATTCTAGGTTACAAGAGATATCAATTAAATCATTCAAATACAAATTAAATCAAGATTCATGCAATTAATCCATCATGAGTTTAGCCATACATCATGATTCACCTCTTCATCAATCCCAAATCCCTAATTAAAAATTACTCACAATTCATAATTGAAGAATCAATAGAATTGGGAAGAATATAATTAATTGTCATTAATTAAAAAGTAGAAACTTACAAATAATCCAAGGGAATTGAAGAACAAGGCGGAAAAATAGATGAAGTTTCGTCCCTAGGCCTCTCTCTAAGCTCCGTGACCCCCCATAAAGGGAGTATGGAGGCCTTATTTATAGAAAATAATGAATTCTGGCCGATTTAGGACTGATTTGGCGTAAAACGGGGGTACGCACGATTGTGCGTCCCCTGCCACGCACGATCGTGCGTGGCATCCAGTAGGTCCTCACAATTTTGTCTTCACGCACGATCGTGCGTACTTCGCATGCACGATCGTGTCTCCTTCACTTCTGAGTTGATGACGCTTCCTTCATGAAAGTTGTAGATAATGAAGTCCTTTATCCACCACACTTTGAAAAATTGTATTTTAATCATTCAATCAAAATATATGAATAAAATGGTGGAAGGTCGCATTCTGAAATCGCAACAGAGATCATATGACTTCTTCATCTGTTTTTATCTTTCTCCTCTCAGATTCTCGAAATGGTGTCTTCATATGATTAGCAGAAGCAGTTAGGAAGATTGTCTTTGTGTGATCCACAGTAGCAACTCTTCTTAGATCGGCAGCTTATACAAGCAGGAGTTCAGATAGGAACAAACCATGTCCTAACTTGCAGGTGTAGAGACCAACATTGGGGTCCTTCTTCTTGATGTAGTCAATAAAAGATCTGACAAGCACCTGAACCCAGTTTGTGTTCATGCCATGGTGGAAAACAAATAAAGCTTTGGCATGAGGGATGATGACGTCATCTATGGATCCGGTCTTCCACCATAGGCATTTGTGCAGGATATTCACCAATTTCTCATAGTCCCTTTTTCAACATGTATTTCTTCATGCTGAGTTTTTCAATTTGTTCGCCTGGTTTGCAGTAGGATTAAGCAGAGGCTTGAATTGTTACCTTGACATCTTTCATGTCAATGAGAGTGGTGATGTTTGCATCTTGAGGTTCAACAGTGATATCGAAGAATTTATTTGTTGTGTCTGGGTCCAGAGTGATGCCTTCTCCATTGACATGAGAATGGATGGTTTCGCCTTCAAAAGTAGCATTGAGGTAAAACTCCGCAACATCCATGGTGCTGAACTGTTCATATGGATGAGCGACTACTTTACTTAGTTGAGAGTCAGTGAGCCCTTCGAGTATCTTTGCCATCCTCATCTGGTTGGCGGCAAGCTGTGGTCGTGCGCTCAAATCGCACTTCATTCCGGTGATGACACTGTTGATGAGTGCCTGAGCTTGTTCTTTGGTGAGGTCCTTAATGCTGATGAACGCCATTGTAGAGAAGTTGGGAGATTTGGAGTTTGTAGAGAGAGGAGATTTGAATGAAAGAGAGATAAAGAGCTAGAGAGATGAAGTGCAGTGAGCAGTTCGAGTGGGGTAGTGGGTTATATATGATGTGGATTAGTGGACGTTTGATATAATTGGTGATTTCGAGGTTCCATTTAATGAAATGTGGGCGCAGAAACGTTTCTGTTATAGTAATAACTATCAGGGGTAGAAACGTAAAAGACCTGGTTATGTACTTAGGTCAGCCCGTACCTTGAAATTTGGCCAAGTCCACAGTCACACATAACAAACTCTCAGGATCTCTGGTTGAGGTTCTCTGTTCACAGGGCATTCTGGTGTTCAGAGGGATTCTGATACCCTGAGGTATTCTGATTCAGGCATCTATGGGAAGATCATTCATCATTCTCAGTTCTTCCCTTAGCTTATTGAACCTTGTCTCACTGAGAGGTTTGGTGAGAATATCTGCAAGTTGGTCTTCGATTGGTACATGCGCCATACAGATATGCTTCTTTTCCACATGATCTCTGATGAAATGATGTCTGATCTCGATGTGCTTGGTTCTAAAATGAAGTACAGGGTTCTGGGTGATTGTAATGGCATTAGTGTTGTCACATAGCAGCTTGATCTCC